TCTTTGTCTGGTTTTGGTATCAGGCTGATGGTGGCCTCATAGAATGAGTTTGGGAGTGTTCCTACTTCTGTGATTTTTTGGAAGAGTTTGAGAAGGATAAGTGTTAGCTCTTCTCACAGTGTTCCATAGAATTCACCTGTGAAGCCATCTGGTCCTGGACTTTTGTTTGTTGCAAGATTTTTAATCACAGTTTCAATTTCATTACCTGTGATTGGTCTGTTCATATTTTCGATTTCTTCCTGGTTCAGTCTTGCAAGGTTGTACCTTTCTAAGAGTTTGTCCATTTCTTCCAGGTTGTCCATTTTATTGGCATAGAGTTGCTTGTAGTAGTCTCTTAGGATGATTTGTATTTCTGTGGTGTCTGTTGTAACTTCTCGTGTTTCATTTCTAATTTTATTGATTTGAGTCCTCTCCCTCTGTTTCTTGATGAGTTTGGTTAATAGTTTATCAATTTTGTTTATCTTCTCAAAGAACCAGCTTTTAGTTTTATTGATCTTTGCTATTGTTTTCTTTGTTTTTATTCCATTTATTTCTGCTGTGATCTTTATGATTTCTTTCCTTCTGCTAACTTTGGGTTTTGTTTGGGTCTTCTTTCTCTAGTTCCTTTAGGTGTAAGGTTAGATTATTTATTTGAGATTTTTCTTGTTTCTTGAGGTAGGCTTGTATAGCTATAGACTTCCATCTTAGAACTGCTTTTGGTGCATCCCATAGGTTTTGGATTGTCATGTTTTCATTGTAATTTTTCTCTAGGTATTTTTTGATTTCCTCCGTGATCTCTTGGTTATTTAGTAACGTATTGTTTAGCCTCCATATGTTTGTGTTTTTTATGTTTATTTCCTTGTAATTGATTTCTAATCTCATAGCGTTGTGGTCAGAAAAGATGCTTGATATGATTTCAGTTTTCTTAAGTTTACTGAGGCTTGATTTGTGACCCAAGGTGTGATCTATCCTGGAGAATGTTCTGTGTACACTTGAGAAGAAAGTGTAATGTGCTGTTTTTGGATGGAATGTCGTATAAATATCAATCAAATCTATCTGGTCTGTTTTGTCGTTTAAAGCTTGTGTTTCCTTATTAATTTTCTGTTTGGATGATCTGTCCATTGGTGTAAGTGGGGTGTTAAAGTCCCCTATATTATTCGGTTACTGTCAATTTCCTCTTTATAGCTGTAAGCACTTGCCTCCGAATTGAGGTGCTCTTATATTGGGTGCATATATATTTATAATTGTTATATCTTTTTCTTGGATTGCTCCCTTGATCAATTATGTAGTGTCCTTCCTTGTCTCTTGTAACATTCTTCTTTTAAAATCTATTTTATCTGATATTAGTATTGTTACTCCAGCTTTTACTGATTTCCATTTGCATGGAATATGTTTTTCCATCCCCTCACTTTCAGTCTGTATGTGTCCCTAGGTCTGAAGTGAGTCTCATGTAGCCAGCATATATATGGGTCTTTTTTTTGTATCCATTCATCCAATCTATGTATTTTGGTTGGAGCACTTAATCCATTCATGTTTAAGGTAATTATCGATATGTATGTTCCTATTACCATTTTTAAAATTGTTTTGGGTTTGTTTGTGTAGATCCTTTTCTTCTCTTGTGTTTCCCACTTAGAGAAGTTCATATGGCATTTGTTTTAGAGCTGGTATGGTGGAACTGTATTCTCTTAGGTATTGCTTGTCCGTAAAGGTTTTGATTTCTCCCTGGAATCTGAATGAGATCCTTGCCGGGTAGAGTAATCTTGGTTGTAGGTTCCTCCCATTTATCCCTTTAAATATGTGATGCCACTCCTTTCTGGCTTGTAGAGTTTCTGCTGAGAAATCAGAGGTTAACCTTATAGGAGTTCCCTTGTATGTTATTTGTCATTTTTCCCTTGCTTCTTTCAATAATTTTTCTTTGTCTTTAATTTTTGCCAATTTGATTAGCATGTGTCTCGGTGTGTTTCTCCTGTATGGGACTCTGTGCACTTCCTGGACTTGGGTGGCTATTTCCTTACCCATGTTAGGGAAGTTTTCGACTATAATCTCTTCAAATATTTTCTTGAGTCCTTTCTCTCTCTTCTCCTTCTGGGACCCCCATAATGCAAATGTTGTTGCGTTTAATGTTGTCCCAGAGGTCTCTTAGGCTGTCTTCGTTTCTTTTCATTCTTTTTCTTTATTCTGTTCTGCAGCAGTGAATTCCACCATTGTGTCTTCCAGGTCACTTATCCATTTTTCTGCCTCAGTTATTCTCCCATTGATTCCTTCTAGTGTAGTTTTCATTTCAGTTATTGTATTGTTCATCTCTATTTGTTTGTTCTTTAATTCTTCGAGGTCTTTGTTAAACATTTCTTGCATCTTCTTGATCTTTGCCTCCATTGTTTTTCCGAGGTCGTGGATAATCTTCACTATCATTCTGAATTTTTTTCTGGAAGGTTGCCTATCTCCACTTCATTTAGTTGTTTTTCTGGGGTTTTGTCTTGTTCCTTTATCTGGTACATAGCCCTCTGCCTTTTCATCTTGTCCATCTTTCTGTGAACGTGGTTTTTGTTCCACAGGCTGCAGGATTGTAGTCCTTCTTGCTTCTGCTGTCTGCCCTCTGGTGGTTGAGGCTCTCTACGAGGCTTGGGCAGGTTTTCTGATGGGAGTGACTGGTGGTGGCTAGAGCTGTGTGTTGCTCTGGTGAGCAGAGCTCAGGAAAACTTTAACCCTCTTGACTGCTGATGGGTGGGTCTGGGTTCCCTCCCTGTTGGTTGTTTGGCCTGAGGTGACCCAACACTGGAGCCTACCTGGGCTCTTTGGTGGGGCTAATGGCAGACTCTGGGAGTGCTCCCACCAAGGAGTACTTCTCAGAACTTCTGTTCCAGTGTCCTTGTCCCCATGGTGAGGCACAGCCACCCCCCACCTCTGCAGGAGACCCTCCAACACTAGCAGGTAGGTCTGGTTCAGTCTCCTATGGGGTCACTGCTCCTTCCTCTGAGTCCCAATGCGTACACTACTTTGTCTGTGCCCTCCAACAGTAGAGTCTCTGTTTCCCCCAGTTCTGTTGAAGTCCTGCAATCAAATCCCACTAGCCTTCAAAGTCTGATTCTCTAGGAATTCCTCCTCCCGTTGCCGGACCCCCAGGTTGGGAAGACTGATGTGGGGCTTGGAACCTGCACTCCAGTGGGTGGACTTCTGTAGTTAAGTGTTCTCCAGTTTGTGAGTCACCCACCCAGCAGTTATGGAGTTTGATTTCACTGTAGTTGTGCCCCTCCTATCGTCTCGTTGTGGCTTCTCCTTTGTCTTTGGCTGTGGGGTATCTTTTTTGGTGAGTTCCAGTGTCTTCCTGTTGATGATTGTTCAGCAGTTAGTTGTGATTCCAGGGCTCTCACAAGAGGGAGTGAGAGCACGTCCTTCTATTCCATCATCTTGAACCAAATCCCCTATATCGTATTTTAGATTCTACATATAAGTGATATCATATGGTGTTTGTCTTTTTCTTTCTGACTTACTTCACTTAGTATGATAATCTGTGTCCATCCATGTAGCTGCGAATGGCATTATTTCATTCTTTATGGCAAAGTAATATTCCATTGCATATATGCCACAATGGAATATTACTTGGAATATTCCAAGTAATTCCAATATTACTTGGAATGGAATACCACATCATCTTTATCTATTCGTCTGTTGATGGACATTTAGGTTGCTTTCATATCTTCGCTATCGTAAATAGTGGTGCTATGAACATTGGGGTGCATGTATTTTTGAAACATTTTTTTGGAGATTTGCCCAGCAGTGGAATTGGTAAGTCATATGGTAGTTCTATTTTTAATTTTTTGAGAAACCTCCATAGTGCTTTTTGTTGTTACTGCACCAATTTACATTCCCACCCACAAAGTATGAAGGTTCCCTTTTCTCCACATCCTCTTCAACATTTGTTATTTGTATACTTTGTGATTATATACTTGGCAGTTTTGATGTGAAAGGAAACCAAGAAATGGGACAGTAGCTGGCGGTGGGGAATGATGTGGGCTCATGGAGATTTTTTTTACAGTTAAGCATGTATTTGTGATTCTGGAAACGTCCAGTCTAGAAGGGCATGTTCATGATTCAGAGAGAGAAGGAACAGTTAAAGAGTGAAGTTCCATGCATGCAACAAGGAATTAGATCCAGGACACAGAGGGAAGAACTTGCTTTTGTCTGCATCAGGGTGTCCACCGTGAAGCGTAGGCAGGGGATGGTGCAGGTGTGGGTGTTCTGCATATACAGTTTGTCCCAGATCCTTGCATTTTCTCAGTAAATTATTTGAGAGGGTCATCATCTCCTCATTGGAAAGA